GTGTGTGTGTAATCAAGTGTGTGTGGTGTGTGTGTGTGTGTGTGTGTTTGTGTGTGTGTGTGTGTGTATGTGCATGTTTGGATTAATGTCTCCAGCGTCTCGCTCAGGGGAAGGTAATATGCTTGTCCGAACGAGCTTCTTCTGTCACATTTGCGTAGATGGTTTAAAACTGTGGAGTGAGCGCGAGTGGGGGAGAGAGTGAAAGAAAAAGAGCAAGAGACAGACAGACGGACAGAGAGAGAGAGGGAGGGACAGAGCAAGAGAGGGAGGGAGAGAGGGTAGAGGGGAGGGAGGCAGGAGAGACACTGTAGGAGAGAGGATGGAATGAATAAGCAATCTTGCTTTCTCTACTCCTGGCGCTTGCATCTCGCTCTGATCACATGCATGCTTCCTCTCTCTCGCTTATCTTTGTGTCGTTCCGATCTGTCCTTTGTTCTTGTTTACATATTTCCTCCTTTGTCTCAGTGTCCCTCCCCTCGTACCTCCCAGCGTCCTTGCCCCTGGGTCCTCCCTGTACACTCCCTCGTCCTCTCCCTCCTATCTCCTCTACCTCCTATGATATCTCTGCTCCTCTCCCTGCCTTTTCCCAAATGTCCTCTTATATTAGTCAATGACCCACTGAACCCCTTTTCCCTTTCTAATCACTCCTATTCCCATGCATGCCCGGAAACATATGCAAACACACATGCATACACGTACATCTACAAACAGGCACACCAACACAGACACAGTTAGAGAGAAAACATAAAACAAGAAGGATTTTTTTTTTTTTTTTGCAATGGGCAACTCTGTAAAGTCGCTTAAAATTTTCACCAAGAAGGTAAGGTCCGCTCTGAGGTTTTTCACTCTGCTGTGGTCTCCTTGAATCCCGTGACTGTTGGTGCATGTTGTCTCATGGTGTGTCCCCAACCTGACCGAAGGCTATTTGACTGAACCTGTGCTGACTGAACCCTGTGTGCTGTCTGGGTGTTCACTAACAGGCTGTCTTGAACTGTTTACCTGTGTTTTGTGTGGCAGCACATGGGAGAATAATAGAAGAGTGTTTCAAGATAAAGCTTGTGTCTCATGCTGTAGTTTCAGGCAACGTTCGCCAACACAGGAGCTTATAATCTTGATTATTGATTAGGACTGTTGACTTTCTTTAAAACTCATTCTGCATGATCTGTACCGATTTCTGTTATATAACATTTGCATCTTATATTTCTTCCCCCTGTGCTTATCAGTGCATGTTTGCATTCCCTAGAAAGCCTTTTAGACCGAGGTCAGAGGAGATGGTTGATGCTGCTTGTGCTTAACCTGTTGGCTGAGGTGAAGTCAGTGGATTTGGACCACGGCACCAAACTTTAGAGTCACTCAAATCGCACAGTGATGCCGCCTTACGAGCCAGTGGAAGATGATACCCTGTAAACCTGCACATGCGGGATGTAACCAGTCAGTGGGAATGTTGTAAACAGGTGTGGCGTTTCAACTACGTCAGATGTTATTAGCTCAAATGCACCACTGGCATTGAATCTTTAGACAGCAACATAAGGGCAAGATTGAGGAACAACAAAGAAGAAACACTCAGAACCATTTTTGCAAAGGCTCAAAAAGATGACCTTTGTTCGTACAATACATCTCTTGCATCTGCTGCCGCCTTTTGTATCAGTGTATGCTTGAACAGACTCTCAGTATATTCCCACAAATAGATTCATTCCTTCACATCAACAGCTGCACATCCTTGAGGAAGCACAATATGACAAGCAACTGTTGATGCCATCTGTGCGAAATGGTTTGGAGTGCTGGAGAAGTTCTTGCTTGACTTCAGCATTTCTCTGACACTGTTTCAGGATTTTTTTCATTTTCTATTTTTGGTTATATAACTGCTAGCGCGTGGCTTCATAGTACTTTTCTGGCACGATATACCCACAGACAGCCCTGCTCCATGCATCACTTGGTCAGATTACCCAGTGGGCATCCGTTCCTGTGGTGTGGACTGTAGGAATGCATGAACTGGCATTAGGACTGGCGTGGTAACAGATGGAGTGTGAAGGTCATTTGTAGAGCATATAATACTGTGTATATTTGCATGTAGTAGTAGATGTCTTATGTTTACTGTAAAAAGCATGTGAAGACAGGAACTAGCTCATGTCTGAGAGATTTAAAGCAACAGCAAAAACGGTCCCTTGGTAATTTGTTGTGACAGTGAGTCCACTCCGCTCGCTTTTAGCTGGGTTTTCCTCCACTGAGTTGGATATCACTACAGTAATTGCAGACTTGACCAATATTATCATGTTTTATTAGCAAAAGGAGATGTTACTGCTTTAAACTTAGTTCATCTCCGCTTGAAAATGCGCAGTAGATAGTCTCAGAGCACGAAAACAGAGTGCCTTTTCCATCTCTTGTGTTCTGCCTTTAGCCTCCGATTAGTCTGCTACTCTGTTATTCAAATATTAGTCAGAGCAGTGGTTGGACCTTATTTGACTTTATTTAGAGGAAGCTTTTTTCGTCCACTGGCAGGCAGTGATTGCCCAATTTTAATTAACCTGTAGCTCTCTCTGTAATTGAGATCACTGCTGTGAGAATAACTTTTGCCCCCTGGTTGATTGGCTAATTGGTGATTATAATAAAATGGCTGGCTGAACTTTAGCCTCATCTTCTGGACAACATAATTATTTTGTAATGTGCAGAAAAACAATTGTCAATCTTGGTCAAGTAGCCATCCCTGCATGACTCTTGTTGAATGTAAATAATGTTTACATTATTACTAACACTGTTACTAACATATTTAGACTGTATTATTAGTTAGAATCATAATGCTGTCAGTTAATCGTGTACTTATAACGTACCACTTACTACTGACAAATTGGGTATTGGAGGACTATTCCAGTTTGTAAATTTGAGGACACAGCAACATTTTACAGTTTAGTCAGTTGATTAAAACCACTTTATTTGCAGATAACACAGAGAGGTTGGTAATAATCAGGATAAATATGTGAGCACAAAAATGGCAATTACATTAAACTTGAACTGGGAAGATGGTGTGTAATATCTGGTCAATGTTTACAACATACAGTTAATGATGATTGAGGTAATGAAAACAAATCGGCTCACTGCTTGTGTCTCTCGCTCCATCTGACTTTTTTGTAGTGATGTTGCTGTTTTCTCTGATTAAAGCAGTTGATTTGGTGTGTAAATTGTATCATTATTGTAAGAAAGAATGGTCAAAACTACAAAACTAAGATAATATTTTGGAATAAACTGTAATTAGTCTTTAAGGCAAGAAAATGCACAGCTGAAGACTGTAAAAAAAATTATCAAAGAGCTATGGCGCAAGGCTGTCAGTGCTGTGTGACATGAAAAAAGGCTTTCTCCATCATTGACATAATCACATGATATGGAGGCTTGGTAGTGTTCTGTTGTGCAGGATTGTGACCTATACAGATTCATGGATGGCATCAGTTGCTCTTGTCATAATAAATTACAACCTCTTCCCTCTGGCTGAGGTGCTTTCCTTCATCATGACTGACCTGACTCTACACGTCTCTATGACTGACAGGCATATGTCTGTCACCTCTGATCCTGCTTCTGAACCCCCTCACTCCCTCCATCACACCTCCTTGCCGACTCCATGCTGCCACAATCTGAGTCACGGTCTCTACCCCTGTCTTTGCCCTTGCTCCCATGTCTGGCCCCCCTGCTCCGGATGCTGCTCCAGGACCAGAAGAAGAACTACAAAGCAGTGCAGTCCTGTGAGGAGGGGGGCTCTGGGGGGGCCTATCTTGAGCCGCTAGTGGCGCTGGCCCAGAACGGAGCCAACATGCACAACGTACTGGGGCCTGCATGCATCTTTCTACGCAAGGGCTTCGCTGAGAGCCGGCAGGCTGTACGTAAGTCCAGACAATATCACGTGCATGCATACCGAGAGATTAGCACACAATGCAGTACATGCACAATAACAGAAACGTGTGTTGAATGTGTGTAGTAATCACCTCTCATTGTAACGTCAGCACTCACAGCATGTAAATAAGCGTGGTGGAACGAAGAAGAGTTTTCTTGATAACTACAATGCTGAATGCAAGAGTGTGTGTGTGTGTGTGTGTGTGTGTGTGTTTGTGTGTGTGTGTATTTATGCATGAGGCTGCATCACTCATGAACCTGGTGGATATTTGTAGCAGGTTGGGGGATTATTAAAGCAGGGTTATGGTGGTGGTGGAAATGTTCCTCACATGATGATTATTCCTCTTTGTCTAATTTCCAGCAGTGATAGCGCGAGTCAGGGTGTTGTTTTTAAAGGAAACAATGATGTTGAAATCCTCAGTGCAGATGCTGTTTTATTGATTGTTCTAATGACAAGCTCTCATATGGCTGTGCCTAATGTATGCAGGGGTTGAAATTGAGTCGTTTTAATTCAATGGACTGGCAAATAAGGAAATTGTTGCATACTTTTCATTATATCTGCATCACCACACTTTCTGAAATAAAATAATTTTGCACACCTATACTACAGATACAGTGAATGGTTCAGATTCCTCTTTACAGATACAAATATTGGATCTTGTGTTTTAACTTGTTTCCGCTATCTTACTTTCATCTCATTACCTACTGTGTTACTTTTTCTCAGTGCCAAGAGTCTGCATGTTTTCTTCAGCAGGGGATTTCACCGATGAGCTTCTCCTCTCTGGATGGAAGGAAACCTGCAGACTCTTGGCACTCCGTGGCACAAACCTGCAGTTGCTTATTTATTTTTGTTACAGCATCCTATTGTGTGAGGGATGCTGCATATTGGCATGATTTTAAACATATCAGCAGTGTTTGGATCCTAACAATGCACTCTGATCCTTTACAGGACCGAGAGTTGAGGCCAGAAGAAATGGATGGTAGGTTACATCTCAGGAAAAGTGACAATAACACTGTAATTTCCACATCTTCCCTTCATTTTTAATACCATATCTCCCTCGCTCTCAGAGTTGCGTGAGGCATTCAAGGAGTTTGACAAGGACAAAGATGGGTTTATCGGCTGTAAAGACCTGGGGAACTGCATGAGAACAATGGGCTACATGCCAACAGAGATGGAGCTAATTGAACTGAGCCAGCAGATCAACATGAATCGTAAGTAAAACTGTCAACTGACAAATTATTTTCTGCGGGGGTTTTTCTCTCAATTTTTCTGGCAAACCTTCAGAATCAATACTTTGACAGCCACTTTAAAACAGTGCCTATGCTTCAGAATCACTAATCATCAGATCATAGAGAACAAATAAAACATATATAAATACCCTGAGCAGCCTGTAACCCTGCTTTCTCTTTACAATCTGTCCAACAGTGGGAGGACATGTTGACTTTGAGGACTTTGTTGAACTCATGGGGCCCAAACTTCTGGCTGAAACTGCAGACATGATTGGGGTTAAAGAGCTGAGAGATGCATTCAAAGAGGTGAGGAAAGACAAAATAATTTACCAAATGGATGGAAATGTTGTTAGAACATGAGTAAAATGTATTAATTGATATATGTAGTTTATCTTAGAGTGTTAAACAAAGAGTTAACGTCAGATAAAAGGGACAATATTCTTGAGGATGTTTTGCTGCTATTTTGGTAGTTTAGTGACGCTGATAGTGGTTGATATGAGCCTGGGAATATATGTAAGACAAAGGGGAAAGCATTGTCTACTTTATTCACTTGTATCTTCTTCTCTCATTCTCAGTTTGACACTAATGGTGACGGCCAGATCAGCACAGCAGAACTCAGAGAAGCAATGAAAAAACTTTTAGGACAACAGGTACCGAGTTGCTGGGAGAGTCTGTCTTCCTGTCTGTAGCTTTCCATCAATCATGGTGTCTGTCTGAATCTTGTCTGTTTACTCCACTGAGTTTGTGCTGCAGACATTCACACCTTGCCCCCACAACCTGACTTTTTCAGGTTGGACACAGAGATCTGGAGGACATTTTACGAGACATTGACCTCAACGGAGATGGGCATGTAGACTTTGAAGGTATGTGAGAGTATACTTCACAACATTTTTCACTGCATGCAGAAACTGGAGATCAAATGTGCTTACACAATATATTTCACTGTTGGCGTACTTCTATTTCCTTCATTCTGACTCTCTCTTAAACACACACGCACACACATTTATTTTAAGTATAAGCAAAAATCCCAACATGTGTGTTGCTGATATCCCAATACCATGCTGATAGTGAGGTGAGGGAATGAAGGGAGTAGGTCTGTCTGTCAGATTATCTCCACACCCAGGGATTATGGCACCTCATAGATTACCCATAGAGAAAAATATGCATACATGGTGTCAGGGATATATCAGAAAGTGCTGCTTTTCTTAGTAACACAACTGTACTTGCATATACTTACTCAACACAACTTCACATTTTTCCTGCATTCTACACGCAACCCATCAGTAATAATGTCCATGCAACATCTGATTTAGCAAGACTAAAAAATAAAGATCATGGTTTGATTAATGTGTCTTTTGAGCAGAAAATAACAAAGTCATGTCCACAAACAGAAAAATGCCTACAAGTTAATGCATGTGCAAGTGAAGAATTCGGGTTGGATCTATCTACTGTTTTACACTGAATTTGTGAATGGGCAATACTTTAAGGAAAAAAAATAGGAACTAACTTTAGAATTATTCAAATGTTGAATTTACTTGCATTAAAACAGTAGTGAGTTTCAAGCAGCCCTCTATATGTTTTTCAGTCATGCATTAGTGCAAGGCAGTTGTTTGCTAACTGTGCCAGTCTGTTGTTTGGTGCAAGGCAGAATACAGTCAGTTTTTACAGCTTTTTCGCTGAAAACAGCTGCATGCTGCATCTGGAAACAACTCTAAGAGAGTGAACAAAAAACAGTTTAAAGTTGGAAGTTGTAAAGCCAAAACAATTAGCTATTATATGCTAAAATTCTGAGCAGAGTTTAGGGGAACTGCAGAGTTGAGAAAAAATTCTTTCAGCTTTTTTATTTATTTATTTTTATTTTTATTTTTTTATTTATTATTATTTTTTTTTTACCAAAACTAATTATAAGCCATTTGTACAAAAGTAAGGAATTTGTTGTTGGCTCGAAGCCCAGGTTATGTTCTATTGAGTTAATGAAACTCTAAAATAAATAGAAATACATGGTTTTGAACTTGAGTCATGCTTATACAGTAGCGCAAAATCTCTGGTGATCAGAAATGTTCTTTTGGTAAGAATGGAAACGTGTGTTTAGCCCTGGGCAGGGAAATAAGCTACTAATGCTCAGCAAGAACCTTTCACTTTTTCCACCGATCCACCAATACCATGACAGCAAGTGTACAAACCACAGATAGCATGATGCAGATGCTATATATTAAGTGGCATCATACATATCAGTTTGTTGAAGATTTATTTTTTAATTAATGCCTTGTAAAAAACAATTCTGTAATTCACAGAATTTGTGCGGATGATGTCTCGATGAGTTCCTGATGGAGAGTCGACATGGATTCTCTGTTGGAATGGGAGGAAGAGGAGAGAGACCAGCACAGATGAATCTTGAACTTCTGGACTGTCAATGAACACGAAAACAAACACATATCAACCCTGCCCTGAAACTGCCATGCTGAAGCACAAAGGCTGACGACTACAGCCAGGAGCAACACTGTTGATTATATGCTGCTGCTGTTTCTTAGAGCATAAACAAAACCAACAGCTGCATTTCTGTCTTTTACAAAGTATATTTTAAAAAGCATATTTTCCTTTAGTAATAACAACATTTCTAATGATGATGTGGCTCTTGACTCAATGGGTAAAGGGTAATGGGAGGTATTTTGCTCAAATACTATACTATGTTAATAACTGTAGCAATTAAGAAGACATATTTTCAACTACAGCAGTATGCCAGCAAACATCTGAACCACTACAATATATTCTTTTTTTTTTTTTAATGCTGAGGGCATCTTAAGCACAAATACAATATGGCAATATGGAAATATTTCATGTGATCCTGTCAAAGCTGTGTGTTTGTGTTTTGTGCATACTGTTGTTTCTCTCTGCCCTATACTGTAGATTTATTATGTCCCTTAAGACTATTGTCAAACCCTGGTTAAGGCAAGCCAAAATTTGTTTTGTAATTATGTGTAATGTAGCATTGATGCAATCCTTCTGACTTTAATAACATTATGCCTATCTTACTGTGATATATATGTAATTTTCAGTGTGCATAAAACTCCTTCAACTGGAAAAATCCTTGAAGGAAATTATCTCTAGGTACAATGAGTTGCTAATCTTGACAACTGTGATAGGCCTTTTTAACGACATGTATGTTTTACTAATTCTGAATATTACTGATCATCCATACCCTAACTCACACAGGTAGGTGATCAACAGAGTGTTAAAACTATACATGAAAGAGAGATTCTGTTAATGCTTTAATTTTTATCAGAGAGCTTTGATAAATGTACTTGTTTATTGGGGTTTTGTGAGTCTACATGAGTCTAACGAACAGTCCTGAAGTGATTTTCACTTTGGTGCAACATTTACACTTCTAACTTTAATACCTCAAAATGAATTATACAATCAGCCTCATCCATAAACGGCCCCCATAGCATAATCTCTAATACCAATTTATTTACCCTTTTACCTTTATTATGTATATTTCTAAAGAAGCAGCATCCATTTCTTTACGCACAAAAGCCAAAGAAAGTTTACAAAAATATTATTTGAGTCTTATTCAGTGTAGTAAGTGTATGCAGTATGTTTTAGAAATATGATCCACTGGATTATATTTTCAAAACGGCTGCTTGAAATGCTGACTGTTTCCTGGGGCAGCTAAATTATTGGTTGACTGTTCATAAATGGACAAGGGGGTATATGCATGCTAAAAAGTTAAGATATTCTTCTAAAGGGAAATCTTACTTTGTGATTTTACTTGTCTTAACTGTGTGAAACTATGCATGCAAGAAATAACTGAAATTTGTAGCAGAATATATAAAAAATAAAGATTTTTTTCAGAACTTGAGCACAGAAGCCATGTCAAAGCATAGTGTGTGTTGTCTTGTATTAACAGTGTTGTGAAGACTTCAATCCACATTATGGGGAACAAAAAGCAGGTAAAACAATTTTAACCAAATCCTTTATATTTCCAGGTAAAGATTTCTTTTTTTAGGTTAGGGTTTTAGGTATTAAAACGTAATTGCAATTCTCTACTAATTACTCAACAGAAAAAGTAATTAATTACAAATACTCCATCAAAGGTCTGTAGCTTCCAACTAGTTCAGAGCTCCAACGCCCACTGCCTCTGTGTTTAACACATGTAGCAAAAGAAAACAAGATTATTGACCAATCAACAGCTAGCATGGACCCGATGGGGTTCACACACCCTCCAACTCAACAAAACCAAATCATGAATGTAGGCTTACCAGTGACGAGCCAGCCAGCTTTACAGCGTGTAATAGAGTACCCACAAGGTGGAGGCTAACCACCTCCATCCCCTTCAACTAATTCAGCTAATACCTCCCAGTCTGTCCACTGAGCCCACAGGAATTTAACTGACCCCCAGAACATCAAAGTACAAGACCTGGTGGCTGCAAATGCCATAGCATATAATTCAGGGTATATTAACACCATGTAAATTGCAAGTTTAAAGTTCTATAGTATAACTTATAAATATATATAATTGAACAACACATGCCTTAACAGAAAATAAGGTTTTGGAAAAAGTGTGGAAACTGGTTTGATTAATTCTGTGCAAGGCAATGAAAGAGGAGTTGGTTGGAAATTTTTTGGAAATAAAATCACGAGAAGTCTATGAAAATTTAGACAAGACAGGTTTCATTCCCACACAGAAGGCATCTGGGAGAATTGAGCAAAAATTTGAAACCTCTGCTTAAGTAGATCAAAATAAACTGGAACCTCCTATAACAATATTTGGATTGATGGGCAAAATTAAGCTCCTCAAATTCAGCAAAGTACAGACAAGGCAGAATCAGATGTTGTGTTTCAAAAGCCAAAAGGAGCATCATCAAACATGTCAGTGTAGTTTATCAAAATAAATAACTCCTTGAAATGTGGAATGAGGCTCATAACAACAAATAAAGATGGGGACAGATACAGTTCTGACATTTACAAAAAGCTGCGTAAGCAGCACACTGTCTGTCAGTCTGTAATATTGTAAACATACATTATAAACACGCAGGCCTTTCTCTACTGACTAATTTGCCAACTTGGCTTTTAACAGAAATAGCACATTAAAGGCCATCTTCACTCTCTCATAAAACCAAAATGCAGTTTGAATAAAGTGTTTATAATAGAGGACAAAGTGGATACAATGTATAATATTATAAAGGCAATACACACAGTGATTTTTTAGAATTTCCCTATTGAGGATTAATATAGTTAATCTTGTGATCATCACTGATTACTCTGTACATTAAAAATAATGAAACTGTGTAAACACTGATGATTTTGTTCATTTCTTTTGGGTACAGTAGATCAGTGGCTCCCAACCTGAAGGTCAGGACCCTCACTAGGGGTCGCTAAAGCTTCACGAGGGGTTGTGAGGCATTCTTGATTTTAAGGGATGTAAGAAAATTGTAAAAATATACACAGTAGGCCTATATCTCAGCATTGAGTTAATTTGTGTAAAAACTAAAGTACATTTTGTTTTGGATTATTATTTAAGATATAAACTTTGAATCCCTGAACAGAAGCTATATTGACTCTCTTCTAAACAGCCTAGACCTGCATTAAAAGTCAAAACAATCAAAAAGCTAATAGAACAATGAGGAGAAATTTGTTCAAAAAAGAAGCCTATTTAGTATGTATGATTGGTAAAAATTTGAAAAATACACGATATAGACTTACTTAATTGTAGAAAAAGTCCCCTAAACAGGCAATAATCTGATAAGAATGAATCCTCCTCATTTTAAACAAACTTCCTGCTGTTACCAAGTTCGTTTTTTGGGTTAATATGAAATATGTCAATTACTCAGAGGTCGTCAGTTTACTAAATGATTAGCAAAACCTTTTTGTTTATTGTTTTTTTTTCCTCTTTTTTTTGAATGAGTAGCAATCTTGACAGGTTACACATTGTACTGGTAAACAGGAGATTGGGGGGGCGGGGGCGGCTAATTACTTCCCACAACGGTATGGAAACATTTGCTATACACTTTCATCATCCCTTTTTTATCGACCATCTGAGTCTCACCTGGGATACTTATAATGGATGTTTACATTTCCCATGTGGAATGCATTAAACGGCTCAGTGCCCACTAAGACACCAGACTTACCGCTAATCAGCTTTACCGGCCCGGCCCACAGCGCGGCGTCGTGACAGCGGGCCCCTCATTGGGCTCCTTGTTGCCATGACGACTCCTAAACAACTCTGCCTTGTAGTTCGTTGGTAGCCTGGATGCTAAACGCCCGTAAAGCCAGCCAGCGCAGTGCCAGCGGTGTTTCCCCGTGGCTCTTTCGCAGGATGGGGAGAACTTACCCGACCGCCTTCAGCCTCAGCTCAGTCCCTCGTTCTCCGGGCTCAGGGCCTGGCCTGCACGTTCCGTTGGGATCTTTCCGTAACATATGAAACATATAAAACATATAAAATTCTCGTAAATCTGTGTTTCTTGTTTGTAGCCTAAAGTTATGGATACTCCTTTTAAGGCTAATATTGTTCTATGATGTGACAGACCCCCCGTCGTCTCTCTCTCTCTCGCCGTCCTTCTCCTCTCTCTCTGCACAACACCGAACACACAACTCTCTCTCTCGTCTTCTCTCTCTCTCTCTCTCACAACACACACACACACACAGAGGCAGTAGTACGTCACACATCGGGAATGCAGTGAGGATCTGCTGCTGCTAAAGGCCTCAGGATCCGTCACAAAGTAGGTTAACGACGCCAAAGCTAAAAGAAAGTAGTTTGGGGACAACTTTCACTGAGCTCTGAGCTTTCAAACGGAGGGGCAGATTGTGTGTGTGAGGCTCCTTTCGGGCGGTAGGTGTCGGTTATTTCATTGTTTGCTCTCCGGTTGTGTTGAAGTTAGCCTGGAGGCAGGGCACGAGCTCTGCTCGAGTTCAAAACAGGCTCGCAAACAAGTAAACAAGCCTGTTATTAAAGTTAAGTATCGCTAATTATCCTTCATTATGGGTTCTTGTATTACTTAAGTGGAGTGTTTTTACACGTACGTGACGCACACGGACAGATTTGGACATTTCATTTCTGTTCAGAGGTTAGAGACTGCTGAGAGGAGCTAACGATGTCGATACAAACAAGGACATATATCGCCTTTATATGGATGTGTGTGTTTAATGTGCCGGCTGTGTTGTGTTTGACCAATTGTACATTGTTCTTGATTTGTAGATGAGACTGAAAGGAAGAGGAGAGTCACTGTAAAAGGTAGGGAATGCTAATAGGTTGCTAATATTGACTACAGACACTGTGTGTGGGTGTATTTTATTATCTTAATGTTAGTTATTAACCCATACTGACTTTAACCCTTGTTGTCCTCCTGTTATTTATCATTTTAATGTAACTAGCACACGTCGCTACATTATTAAGCTACATTGTGTCAAACATGTTAAGATAAGCAGAGCCCTTCAAAATAAAAGCACGACAATACGCTGATCGCTGCAGAATAACAAGAAGACGTGAGTTAAACGGAGAAAATGAGTCATGTGAATTAAATTTGTATTTGCTGCCAGTCGCTTCAGCCTGTCTGTCTCTGTGTTTAATCGTTTGTCTGTGTGGCTGAAACGCTTCAGTTAAGACGCGTTTTATTTTGAATTTTAATCACACCGGATGTCGTCTTTGTTTATTCCCGCGTGCTTTACCCTTGTGACTGTCATCAACTTTGACATTTCGTGAGCTGCTGCGCCTGTTGGCGTCCAGCCGAGCTAATAAATGAACAAATGAACGAGCTTAGTGTTTTAAATCACATAAAACAATCAAACTCTCACAGTTTTAAACACTCAGTGATAAAACCCGTTCACATGCATTTCCCGGCCCAGCCATCCGCGGATTTGAGTGAGTGCTCATCCGGATTCAGACCAGGGGGCTTAAATCAGGTCGGTTGTGGAGGTGGTGGTCACTTTTTCCTCCACGTGGTCACTGTGCAGTGTCAGTGAAGTCCACACTGATACTACACACCAACTTAAACACGTAGTAGATGATAATAAATAATAAAAGTCAAAAACAAAACCAAAAGGCTTTAAAATGCAACGTTCAGGCAATGTATTTCTGTACATCACCCTCTCATCCATCATCATAATCCTCTTACCAGCCAGGGTTTATGACGGACACACAACCCACATACAATCAGTCTGAGTGGGCTGGTAATTTCTCCACTCTGATAATATCGGTTTGTCTCTGTGCTTTCCGTCCATTTAGGGATTGGGTCAGTCACACAGTGGCTTTTCCAAAAAGTTTCCAACAGTAGTTATAGCAGCTTCCTTTGTGCGTGCAGTCTGTGCATTGATGATCATTTTAAAGAGCAATATGTGTTTGTAAAATGGTTAAAATGATGAATCTATTATCAAAAAACTGGTTAGATCTAATCAGCACTAACTTCAAAGCCCTAAATCCTCTTCAGGCTTCCTTGTTATGTAACTTGTAACATTTTATCCGTATTCCTGTGATATATATCAGTGTTTTGAAGTAGATTTTCTTCCTTACAGATCAGTATCTTTAATAAAGGCCTTCAGGTGCAAGTCAGCACTTTTGTCGGCTCAGCTGTGTGCTGCGGTGTTATTTATCCCACAGAGAACACATAATATATTGTTATAAGCCAGGTGTTCACATGTACACAGACACATATCATTACACAACATTTCCTGCCCTGTTTTTGTCTCTGCTTCATTTGGAAATCAATGATACCAGTGTGTAAACACCCCAAGACAATAACCATTGTGGCGTACAACAGGCAAGGGGTAACCAGCTGTTTGTGTGTCTGTGTACGAAGTTTGTGTGCGAGTGTACCGGAGAGCGTTTTTACACGATTGTCTCGTAGTGCACACACACACACTCGCACACGTTTAAGGGCAATGTGCGAGCCTGCTGGAAATCCCCGAGCCTTTCAGAATGGCCGCTCTCTTCCTGCTCCTCAACTAGAAGCCTATTGTTCAATCTGTGTGTCTCCGTTGCCATAGGAAACAAAGTCTGAAGCATCCCTTTGTTTCCATTGGTTACCTGTTACGTAAATATACACAACATCCAGAGCTGTGCTGATGCAAATGATGGATAAAAACATGATCATGTGTACTGGCTGAACTTTTATCAGGCAGAGGATTATTGTGTGGCTGTGTGTACACAATGTAAACTGGATTCATAGATCCACCTGACGGACACATCTTCCTCTCTCGTTCTGGTCTCAGGAGCCTGCCATGTCCGGCCCCACTTGGCTTCCACCGAGGACTCTGGATAGCCCAGAGCGAGCCGTCCCCCAGATGTCCCACTCTGCTGGGTCAGCGATCTACCGAGCCCCCAACAAGAAGGGGATGCCTGACTTCCGGCCGAAGTACGGCCCCTATGACCAGAACGGAGGAGGAGGAGGAGGAGGGATGGCCAACAGGTACATGGCTACTGGACCCACAGGTGAGAAGACCAGTAGTCACACATTGAAGTCAACGATGGCATGTAAATAAATGTAAACTAAAAATGTAATTGCACTATTCAGATCCAAATAAATACATTAATACCGTCATATAATTTACTGTTTCAATCTCCTGGGTCAACACACACATTTATTATTCAATAAATAATAAATGGTCACAATAAAACTGGATTTAAAATGATTTTTTTTTTTCAAAATACAAAACTATTGCATGGTGACTCGTGCCTTATTCAAACTGTACAAACATTTACACTTAAACGTCTTTATTACTGATCATATATGATACACAATAACATTTTTCATGTTTAAGTCTGTGCATACTGTTTGTTTATATCTACACAACCACAACAACTGGACCTTCAGCTGAGTCTATTTGAAGTTTGGCTTCTTCTAAGGGAACTGTTATACACATGTATTTACATTAAAGTCTTATTTTAATACGTCCAATCTCTAGACCATAATAAGGAAAGACTTTTAGAGAGAAAACCTTTTTGCTCACGTTAAAGAGGTTGAAGATTGTCTTGGAAAATAGTATTTTTTATCTCTTCTCTGATCTTAAGGTGGGCCCATTCATCATTCCTCTAACGATCACTATTACCCTCCTCCCCACGGGCCCAAAGAAGACCGCAACTGGAGCCCCCACATGGACAGCTACGAGCTGATGGTGGGTGCAAGTTTCTGTAGCTTTACTGATACCAAAACGACATCTTTGACTTGTTTCACTTCCCTACGTAATGAAATCTCTAATCTGTCGCCTTCTAAAACAAAAGGTCAGTTTAACGTTGCTGTTCTGTTATTAGCACCGCGGTCCTGAAAAGCCGGTGAGCTATCACTCTAAAATCGATGCTGATATTGACTCCCTCACCAGTATGCTCGCTGACCTGGACAGCCACCCACAGGACTCCAGCACACAAGTGAGACAATACTCTTTACTGAAACTGCGTTAAGTATTTTCTTGACAAATTGAACTCAACACTTGCCTTTTGTTTTCACAATCACTCCCCACAGCTGTACGACAACGTGCCTTACAACAAATACCTCTCAGGGGATCATTACAAGCCTGCGCACCAGAACGCAGCCCCTCCTCAGGGTCGGCCATCCATGGGCTACCCCCCTCATCCCCAGAGCCAATACCACCCAGCGCCCCCTTACCCCAGCGAGCACCAGTCACCTCAGTACGCCACCTCCCACCAGCAGGACTACTACTCCTCCTCTTCAGCCCCTAAACCGTACCCCCAGCCCGTCCCAGCCTCCTACACCACAGCCTCCACTCCCACTGGACCCAGGTTCAGTGTCCAGGTGAAGACAGCACAGCCTGTCACCTACTCTCAGACGGGGAGACAGGCTGAACAGGCCTACACCCCACCCCCTCCTCGCCAGCACATGTCACGCCCACCTCCCCAGACTCAGACAAGTCAGCAGGGCTGGTACCCTCCACATCAGGCTCAGGAGATGCACTCCGAGGTGGGGTACAAGGGGAACAGCTCAGGGTCTGGAGGAAGAGGTAATCAGGTTCCGCTGTCCAAGAGAGGGATGGAGAATAACCAGACAGGGTCCGGGGCTGCACAGAGTCCTGCTTATCAGTCCAGCAAGGTACATCATCACACAGTTACACATCCTTTTCATTGTATTTGTTGTATTTTTATTATGTCATTTTGCCACCTCGTGAGCTGTTATGTCTTTGGTTCGCACTAATTCTTATTTAGATGTGGTGTTTAATATTTACTCTCCTGTACAGCACTTGGTCAGCTTATTAGAGCGTTGTTATGGAAGATGTCGTGAACTTAAATAAAATAAAGACTGTTTTATGTCTCCCTGATCAATATACTAAAATTACGCTCAGATAATAATCATGCCGACAGCGTTAGATAAATATATAATAGAATGGAAAAAGGATAATTTAACGTGGTCTCATCTACTCACTATGATGTGTATAGAGCAACACCTTGAAAGGGTTACACGTTTCATTTTTATGATCTAAATTTTGTGCTGTCTGTTGTCAGGCGCAGACCAAAGTCACTCCTGGGTCACATTTCAGGTCTTCAGACACCTTCAAACGGACAGAACCTGCCCTTAAAAAAGCTGTGACGTGATTGACATAGTGTAGATATGAGACTCTTTGCTCCTGTTTTCCACTCACCTGTTTTGGCATCCATGACTTAGGTTTTTATGTGTGACTTGTCTGTGACAATTCTGCTGTAAGGAAGGGTTGCGAACATCCATACATGAACTCCTCACCCCTTCTTGTGTTAGCTGACGAGCTAGTCGGTTTACTCTTTCTGTTTTATCCAGCTTTTCATAATTGTTCAACACGCTGGACAGCTATATGGGTGTAGCTTTCTATTCGATCGTCAGACTTTACATCTTTAGAAACACATATTTCATCAAGTCTTTGATGGTAAGTTGGTGTCTATTTAATTCACTTTTAATAAATGCAAAATCCAAGGTACTTCTGACCGTGTATATCTTTTGCATTT